TGAATTTGGGGTTGGGTAAACCGGCTTTGCTCTGTCTCTTATACACATCTAGATGTGTATAAGAGACAGCATTCCTGAACATCCCTTACCTTGTTTATATCCACTACCAACCTTATCTAATGTTTATTTTTCTGTTGAGCAGGTCACTAGCATGCTGCAGAAACTTCAAACAAACAAGGCTGCAGGCCCAGATAACCTCTCTCCAAGGCTTCTCCAGCTTTGCGCTCCAACTTTTTCTCCAGTTCTTTGCGAGTTGTTTAATATTTCCCTCTCATTAAGTAGCGTGCCTGGGGGTTGGAAGAGGGCACATGTCACTCCTATCTTTAAGAAAGGAGTGACTACCAATTTTAACAACTACCACCCGGTGGCTCTAACATCTGTTGTGGGTAAAATGCTGGAGAGGCTGGTGGTACAAGCACTTCTGCAGCATGCTACTGATAATTGTTTGCTCATTGAGAACCAACACGGTTTTTTACCTTAAAAATCATGTACTACGCAACTTGCAACTATCATTCATGACTGGTCCTATATTTTGGATCAAAGATCCCCACCACTCATTGATGCCATTTTTTTAGATATTTCAAAGGCCTTTGACCGGATGCCTCATGATATTCTCCTAAATAAGCTTTCCCAGCAATTTAACATCTCTGAGGATATCTGGTACTGGTTAAAGTCATTTTTGACTAAACGTTTTCAGAAATTTCAATTTAAGGGATCCTCATCTAACTGGGTGGAGGTAACCAGTGGGGTACCGCAAGGCAGTGTACTTGGTCCCATTCTTTTTAATTTTTTTTATTAATGACATTGCTTGTTCGCTTAAATGTAAAACTGCTATTTTTGCTGATGACACCCTTATTTATAGTCCTATAACCTCTCCTCAATACTCTCTCAACCTTCAAGCAGATCTTGACCAACTTACTCTGTGGAGTGAAGTAAACCGCATGCCTTCCAACGTTCTGAAGACAAATGTTTTACATATCACACGCTCGCGTAATAAACAATTGTCTTCCTATTTCTTGTCTGGCTCTCTTATTAGTCCGGTGACCACCATTAAATACCTTGGTGTTACTTTCAACTCAAAATTGACATGGGAAGACCATGTCCATGCCATTGTTTCCAAAGCTAAGCGTATGCTTGATTTTGTTTGGAGCGTGGCTGGACATGCTTCGACCAGTGCATTGTTGTCTCTCTACAAAAGCCTGGTATTACCAGGCCTGGAGTATGCTCAACCCGCCTGGTTTCCATGGACTAAAACTTTGTCAGATCTGCTTGAGGGAGTCCATAGAAGAGCAACTCGTCTTGCTCTTAAACAACATCGAGGACAGATGAGCTTTGAGGAGAGGTTACATTTGCTTTCTTTTTCTTCTTTGTCTGTCAGAAGGGACAAATTGCTTATTATTTTTTGCTTTAAAGTTCTGAGGTGCAGCACGGTTTATGATGGTATCAAAATCAATACCAGACATAATGATCGCTTGTGTTTCCGTCACCAAGCATCAAGGACCCAAGCATTTTTCAACTCGGTAGCCATCAGGTTGCCTCGTGTTTGGGACCAGCTCTCTAGATTGTTAACCGATGCTGCAGTTTTAGAAAGCCCATCCTCTTTTCTTCCTAAGGTTTCTTTGTATTTTGATTCGCTGTAATGTTTGATTTTTTAATGTGTCGCTGAATTTGGGGTTGGGTAAACCGGCTTTGCTACAGTGATTTACGCTGCATGATTTACGCTGCATGATGTATGCCGATGACATACAGATATACATCGATTTCCTTCCAAGTGAACTTTCCAGTTCACTTACTAAGCTCAATCAGTGTGTAGGCTGTGTCCAACAATGGTCTCTAGCTAACAAGCTTCATCTCAATGTCAAGAAAACAGAATTAATTCGTTTTTCTTCACGCTTTCGTGCAGTTGAAGCCATGTCTTTACAATCATATCAGTTTCTGGTCGAACCAAAGACGGAGGTCCGTAACCTTGGTGTAATACTCGACTCTACTCTACAAATGAAGTCCAATATCAATGCTGTATGTCGCTCTTCCTGTGCTGCTCTCCGTAAAATTGGAAAAATCAGAAAGTTTCTCGACAAACCCACTACTCTACGTCTGATATATGCCTTTCTCAATTCACGGCTCGACTATTGCAACGGTCTCATCTCTGGACTACCCAAGACACAAATAACTAAGCTACAGCGTATTCAAAATTCTGCTGCTCGTCTGGTTACCTTAACTAAGCGACATATCCATATTACACCCATATTATATGATCTTCACTGGCTTCCTGTCGACAAAAGAATTATTTATAAAACATTGCTGTTAACATACAAGGCAATGAACGATCTCGCTCCAGAATACATCACTGAACTCCTGACACCTTACACGCAAACACGCTCTCTCCGATCCGCTTCTAAGAATCTTCTAAAAGTTCCGAAAAGCACTACCATCACATACGGCTCACGGGCATTCACCTCTGCAGCGCCTACCTTATGGAATGCACTTCCAGATGAAATCAGGAACGCCGACTCACTTCAGCTTTTTAAAACACAACTCAAAACTCACCTCTTCACTGAAAGTTTTGCTGAATTCCTTTAACACACATTTTACCACTTTTTTTTTTTTTTCCCCCTTCTTTTAACTGCTTAGCTAGACACCGCCATCACTTGAGCACCTGTGAGTCATGCATCGGCGGGCTTTACGCCTTAAATTGCCGATAAACGGTGCAGTGTTGGTTTGGTTCGTTTTGGCGTTTTCTTTTTTCTTTGTTAGTCTAGGTTCATGGTTTTTTTTCTCATTCTCTTGTCCGTTTCCTTCCGTTGTTGTGAAGCGCCTCGAGGTTGGTCTAACGGGAGGCGCTATACAAATCGCAAATTATTATTATTATTATTATTTGGTTCACTCTGGTTGTCCCTGGTCTCCTTTAATTTTCAGCTTTTTTGTTGTTGTTGTAAATGACCAAATAAATAATGAAATGAAATGAAATAATAATAATAATTATTATTATTATTATTATTATTATTATTATTACTATTATTATTACTATTATTATTATTATTATTATTATTATTATTGTTATTGTTATTATTATTATTATTATTATTATTATTATTATTATTATTATTATTATTATTAACAATCCCTTAAAGGCTTTATTAACAATTTTGTGTCTACGTGCACTAATATGTAGAAAATACATATATTTTATTTTCTCTCGAATAATAATAATAATAATAATAATAATAATAATAATAATAATAATAATTGTTCTCATCATTCTTTATTACAAATTTCATATAAATTTACAAAAGAATGTATATAAAAACCCAGGTCAATAACTGAAAATTTCAGATATATGCAGGGTAAAACAAACTTTATGGACAATTCACAAAACAATACTTGATTGAGAAAACTGATTTTATATTTCAATTAACCAATTTTTTTTTAAACATCAACAACTGAAGTGTCATCCCGTTTCTTTCTTTCCCGGATTCTTTTGTAGTGCAAACCCTTGAATACCGGATTCTTTTGCAGTGTAACAAGATTTTGTGCGTTTTTGAGTATACGTCGTTCTGGTGGATTTTTGGGAACTTTCTGTAAATTATACAGAAAAATGTTTCTTATAGAATAATATTTCATTTGATTTATACTTTATATTTTTAGGATTTTTTTTTTCATAATATAATATAATATAATATAATAGAAATGACAGAAAAATGCTACATATAAATCGTCAGCAAAAACCGAAAAAAAAAAAATTATAGCAAAAAAAAAATAAAAACAAATATAAAACATTCCTATTCCACACAGTTATATAATTTATTTACCAAACCATCCATAACTATAAGCACGATCTTTCCATTCAAAAGCATCGACCACCCTCACATTTCTAGGTCTAAGCTCATCTTCATCAAGAACATCTCCGCCGTCAGAACTGCTTGAAGCCCCGCCGTCATCATCGCTAACAGGCACGTCTAAGTCTCGCATATCTAAAAACTAACCTTCATCGCTGTCTGAATCAAAAATCAGATCAATCGCCTTCTCAGCTGTGTATACATCTTGTGCTGCCATTTCGAAAATTTTTTGAAATTAATAACGATTTCAAATAGATATTTCTAAAAAATATATATATAATCGCATGCGAGTTCTTCACAGATTTCGAAAGAAAAAAGCTTCACGCATGCGTGTTCAAAATTTCTGACGTATTAGAGCTAAAATACAAACCGAAGAGTGATTTGAAAACCACCTATTTTTTAGTCACTAAATTGTGACTGCAGTCGAAAATGGGAATACTCGGTTTGAGGTCAATTTCGACTACAGTCGAAGACGGTATCTAGAGGGCTGGATACCGGATTCTTTTGTATTGCAAACCCTTGAATACCTGATTCATTTGCAGTGTAACTAGGTTTTTTGCGTTTTTTCAGTATACGTCGTACTGGTGGATTTTTGGGAACTTTATGTAAATTATACAGAAAAATGTTTCTAAAAACAAAGAAAGCTTATAAAAAAAGCTTTCATTTGATGTATAATTCATATTTTTAGGATTTTTTTTTTCATAATATAATATAATATTATATAATAGAAATTACAGAAAAATGCTACATAAATCGTCAGCAAAAACCAAAAAAATGTATGTAAAGTGCCTATGTGATCTGTGATCAGGCGCTATTTAGATATAGTTAATAATAATTATTATTTTTATTATTTTTATTATTTTTATTATTTTTATTATTTTTATTATTTTTATTATTTTTATTATTATTTTTATTATTTTTATTATTATTATTATTATTTTTATTATTATT